GCTCTAGCGTCGTAAGCTTGATAAGTAACACGAATTCAGTAGACATATCAAGGATTGTACTATTGCAAGCACAGATTTGATAGATATACAAATGATCCAAGCATTGTAAGCTTAATGAGTGACACAAATTTAGTAAAATACCGGAGATCGTGGCATTTTTAGCTTTATACATAACACAAATTTGGAAAATATTCAAAGGATAGTAGTATTGTAAGGTTAATGAGTGACACACATTTGGTAAAATACCGGAGATCGTGGCATTTTTAGCTTTATACATAACACGAATTTGGTAAATATTCAAAGGATAGTAGTATTGTAAGGTTAATGAGTGACACACATTTGGTAAAATACCGGAGATCGTGGCATTTTTAGCTTTATACATAACACAAATTTGGTAAATATTCAAAGGATCGTAGTATTGTAAGGTTAATGAGTGACACACATTTGGTAAAATACCGGAGATCGTGGCATTTTTTGCTTTATACATAACACAAATTTGGTAAATATTCAAAGGATAGTAGTATTGTAAGGTTAATGAGTGACACACATTTAGTAAAATACCGGAGATCGTGGCATTTTTTGCTTTATACATAACACAAATTTGGTAAATATTCAAAGGATCGTAGTATTGTAAGGTTAATGAGTGACACACATTTAGTAAAATACCGGAGATCGTGGCATTTTTTGCTTTATACATAACACAAATTTGGTAAATATTCAAAGGATCGTAGTATTGTAAGGTTAATGAGTGACACACATTTGGTAAATATACCTAGGAACCAAGCATTGTAGAAACCCATCAGTAATATTTTCCTGGTTCATACCTGGCAAATTTAGCTGATTGAGTTGACAATGAAATTATTTTGATTCCTTATATCATTTCAACAAATCAATTTAGTTGGCTGAATTTTAAAATTGGTCCCAGTCACCTTTACTCGACTTTTGGCTTTTTCTGTATAAGATGCAGGAATTAATGTTATATTCGTCCCATCAAGACCCCAAAGGGGACATGGTTTTCATTTCAAAATATTTTATTAATACAAAGTATTAATAGGATTAGACAGCAGGCTAGTGCCTATATAAGTCTTCTCCTGGGACAACACAGGTGGGCAATTACAGTTACACTGATCAGATTCAAACACACATACATACTCCCTCTCTTTCAAACTCACAAACCTACATACTTACATGTACATGTATAGCATACAGTAACTTACAGTGGATACATACATACAAACACACATATAGACATACATATATACACACACCCTCACACGCACATACACACCCTCTCTCCCATACACACCCTCACACACACATACAGATAAATACACAGAGAAACCTTAGAAGGGAGGTAATTCTTACTTAATTTGGTATATAATTCAAAATACAAAATAATCTGATCTGTAAAATTTAGAAATATTTTAACTGAATCAATACACTTACGGTACACTTGCTCCTCCATACTGACAGGAATATTGGGCCATGAGTGTCCATAGTAATAAAGTTGACCCTCATCCTATCTAATGGAGAAGCAAGTATACCTGAACGTGCATTACTGTAGAATAGAATTATTTTTTCCAAAATATAGAGGATTTTCTGCTTTAACATTAGAGAGTTATATCCCTATTTTAGGAATAAATGATAACTAGAATATCAGAATTCTTCAATATCTAACCAAGTATACAAATTCATATTCATAATTTATAATTTTAAAAACTTTTATAATTTGCTAAATCTTTTTGTGCCAATAATATAGCTAATTACAGAGGCTAATATTGATTTATTAACATTAATATCACAATCTTGGCAGCCGTTAAGAATAAAATCTAATTCATAATGAGGATGATCATGTTGATATAGAGAATGATACAAATCTTGACGGTAAGTTACATATCTTGGACATTCAAAGAAATAATGTTGTACAGTTTCAAGTGGTTCACCACAAGCACATGAGGGGTATTCTATCAAGTGATTATTATGTAAATCAAAAATGAGAGAGCTAGCTGAGTTCCTTAGCTGACAGAGGATAATATTGTATTTTCTTTGTCCATATTCTTTAAAAACAACACTAACATTAGCATTATTATTTACATATAGATTTCTATCAAGTAATTTCTTAAACTGGCCAATGGAGTGAATGTCAATCAAGGAGTCACCGATTTTATTGAATTCACAGATCATATCTGGGAAAAAACTATTGCAATAACTAACAGTGCGACAATATGGTTCATAAAAAATTCTATTATTTCTAAGTTGGTATCTTGATTCATTAGGATTGTTTAAATATGGTTGTATGATATCATATAAATAATCTGGTGATTCTTTGTTTAAAATCTTGTACATTAAAGTCATTTTATGTTTTTTCCTTCTGTCACCTAAAGAAACCCAGCCCAGTTCTGAATACAGTTTTTCACTGGATGTACCTCTGCGTAACCCAGTTATAAATCTTGCTGCCTCAAGATTAATTGATTCTAATAGGTTCTTGACATGTTCTGGACAGTTGTCCCACACGGTATCAGCATATTCAAGAATTGGTCTAATATGGGATATATAAAGTATGGAAAGAGATTTTCTGTCAATTTTATTTTTTAAGATTCTCATTTTTTGGTTTGCCTTCTTGTATATGTAATCAATATGTTTATTCCACTTGCCATCACTACTAAAGAAGAGACCAAGATGTTTATGAGAAGTTGATGTTAAGACAAGCTCATTGTTAAAAAAGATGTCTGGATGATCTGGTTCTGATTTTCTAGAAAATATTACGGATTCTGTTTTAGCTGGATTAAAGTTTATATCCCATTGTTTAGACCAGTTATTGATGTGATTAAGATCATTACTCAGTACTTCAGCTTCTTCTATGGGGTTAGTATTAATTATTCTAAAAAGTGATGTATCATCAGCAAATAATTTTATACAGCTTGTTACACAATTAGTTATATCATTTATGTATAGAAGAAAAAGAAAAGGCCCTAGGACTGATCCCTGAGGAACCCCTGCATGGACATATTTAAAAGTAGAAGCAAAACCATCAATTACCACCCTTTGTTTTCTATTAGAAAGATAATTTTTAAACCAGTTCAGGACATTTCCTTTTATTCCATATGATTCAAGTTTATGTAACAGACCCTCATGCCAGACCCTATTAAATGCCTTACTTATATCACAAAAAATAAATCTTAATTCTTTGTTATTATCTAAGTTACTTATTATTGTGTGATATATGGAAAGCAGTTGATTAACAGTTGAGTCGTTAGGCATAAAACCAGATTGGTGTTTTGATATAATTTCTGATTCATAAAGATGATACTTAAAATATTTTTTTCTATAATTTTACTAAAACATGAGGTTACAGAGATAGGTCTATAGTTAGAAACATTATTTTCAGTACCTTTTCCTTTGTAGATAGCACTAACATTAGCAGATTTCCAAAGAGAGGGGATAGTACCAGTCTCAAAAGTTTTGTTACATAGTATAGTAAGAGGAAGATAAATAGAAGGGGCAAGCATTTTAATGATTTTAGGAGAAAGATTATCTGGACCTGGTGGTTTCTTATCGCTAAGGGCAAAAAGTTGATCTTTTACATCTTGTTCAGAAATAACAATATTGTCAAAAACGAGATGAGTGTAAGATCAAACTGGAGGTAGAGGCTCAAGATCTACAGAGGAGGTAGAGATAGAAGTAAAATAGGTATTCAAACATTCAGCTTTTGCAAAAGGATGACATGGTTGTATTGCATCATATGTTCTGTACAAGACTAAAATGGTATAAAGGGCCAACAGTTAATTCATCGACATGCTATAGAAGTAAGTCTTGACCAGACACTGACCTATATCGCAGTATTTGGTAATACACACACATATATATATATAATATTTTGTGTTTGATGGAGTTTCTATGTTTTTAAAGTCTGCAATGTAATCGTAGCCGTCATCGAAGCCGTCATCTTACAATCCTTTCTTAACATGTTCTTCTACGTCACAATCAGCTGTCCTCTACGCCATTTCTCTTATTGGTATCCATTCAAAAATTGGCCAGATGAAGAAACTCCTACCATCATCTGTAACACGTACTAAATCGCGATATTTGCGTCATTCCTCTTATTAGTATTCATTCATAAAGTGATCAGATGTAGAGGTTCCTACCATCAGCTGTAACACGTACTAAATCGCGATATTTGCGTCATTCCTCTTATTAGTATTCATTCATAAAGTGATCAGATGTAGAGGTTCCTACCATCAGCTGTAACACGTACTAAATCGCGATATTTGCGTCATTCCTCTTATTGGTATTCATTCATATAGTGACCAGATGTAGAGGTTCCTACCATCAGCTGTAACACGTACTAAATCGAGATATTTGCGTCATTCCTCTTATTGGTATTCATTCATATAGTGACCAGATGTAGAGACTCCTACCTAAAATATCTTTTATGTTGGAAAACACTGACAGATAGTATAATGTTGAAATTGAAAGATAATATGGTCTTGATGTCGTGACCCTAGTTTCAAGCAATGCGAAATGCAGGATGAATATTTATATGGATGTGTAATGGTGGTAAAATATATATTTGAGTACATTGTACAAAATAAACGACAAAGGCCATGAGAAAGTTATTGTAATTCAATTCTTTTTATCTTTTTAATGTGCTTAAACAGCTACTCTAAACGACCGATTGTAAAACATTTTGACGCTCGCTTGGAAGACTTCCGCATTCATAAGATTTTGGGTCTATCGTAGAGTTTGTGGTGATTTTTACCTGGTAATCATGTTCTTTCTCTTCATAACCATATCGACCTCAAGAAGTTCTATTCTTCGCGAACTACTTTGAACATATATAAAGAAATTTGCAAGTCAAATATTACGGCAGAATCACTGAAATGATTGGTTATTGGATATTTCAGTTGAAATGCTTGACATGTTTTTTCTTATTCTCCACATGCCTCTCAATATAACGTACTTATTCTCAATAATTACCTTACTTCCGGTTTTTGTTTCAGACCCGCGGGTCCAGGGGTTACCTCTTATGAGCTCTCCCTTCCCATGTGTAATCATCCTTGTTTGCTACTACATCTTCGCGTACTATGGACGCACGATCATGGCCGAAAGAAAACCGCTTCAGATGAAATGGTTTGTCCTTATCTACAACTTTGGAATGGTGATGTTCTCCATGTACATGGCTAAGGAGGTAAGTGCCGTTTAATCTCCCGACAGTGATTAATGATTTAGCACTAGGAAAATGAATATAATACTTTGGACATATTTTCGTCAATGTGAAATAGATTAATGAGAATAAGGATACGTATTGAGAACACTTATTATGTAAAACAGGACTGAGGAGGATTATTGTTACTTATTATGTGATTGATATATATGTGATTATTTATGAAAATGAAATAACACCTTGCTGTGTAATGTACATTAAATGTTTTGGAACGGTTGACCATTATGACGGAATGCATATACTTAGTTGTATATTGTATATTTCTTACTGTAACAGTTTGCTATGACCTGATGACTGACGGGGTACAGACATCTAGTTGTATATTGTATATTTCTTACTGTAACAGTTTGCTATGACCTGATGACTGACGGGGTACAGACAGACATCTAGTTGTATATTTCTTACTGTTACAGTTTGCTATGACCTGATGACTGACGGAGTACAGACATCTAGTTGTATATTATATATTTCTTACTGTAACAGTTTGCTATGACCTGATGACTGACGGGGTACAGACATCTAGTTGTATATTTCTTACTGTAACAGTTTGCTATGACCTGATGACTGACGGGGTACAGACAGACATCTAGTTGTATATTGTATATTTCTTACTGTAACAGTTTGCTATGACCTGATGACTGACGGGGTACAGACAGACATCTAGTTGTATATTTCTTACTGTAACAGTTTGCTATGACCTGATGACTGACGGGGTACAGACAGACATCTAGTTGTATATTTCTTACTGTAACAGTTTGCTATGACCTGATGACTGACGGGGTACAGACAGACATCTAGTTGTATATTGTATATTTCTTACTGTAACAGTTTGCTATGACCTGATGGCTGACGGGGTACAGACAAACATCTAGTTGTATATTTCTTACTGTAACAGTTTGCTATGACCTGATGGCTGACGGGATACAGACAAACATCTAGTTGTATATTTCTTACTGTAACAGTTTGCTATGACCTGATGACTGACGGAGTACAAACATCTAGTTGTATATTTCTTACTGTAACAGTTTGCTATGACCTGATGACTGACGGAGTACAGATATCTGGTTGTATATCATATATTTCTTACTGTAACAGTTTGCTATGACCTGATGACTGACGCGGTACAGACAGACATCTAGTTGTATATTGTATATTTCTTACTGTTACAGGTTGCTATGACCTGATGACTGACGGAGTACAGACATCTGGTTGTATATTGTATATTTCTTACTGTTACAGGTTGCTATGACCTGATGACTGACGGGGTACAGACAGACATCTAGTTGTATATTGTATATTTCTTACTGTAACAGTTTGCTATGACCTGATGACTGACGGGGTACAGACAGACATCTAGTTGTATATTGTATATTTCTTACTGTAACAGTTTGCTATGACCTGATGACTGACGGGGTACAGACAAACATCTAGTTGTATATTGTATATTTCTTACTGTTACAGGTTGCTATGACCTGATGACTGACGGGGTACAGACAAACATCTAGTTGTATATTGTATATTTCTTACTGTTACAGTTTGCTATGGCCGGATGGCTGACAGGGTACAACATTTGGTGTCAGCCAGTAGATTACACAAAAAGTGGGGATCGAGTAAGTTCAGAACTCTTGTATACTTGAGACCGTGTTATGTTTTCAACGTCCTCATGCAATTTCAGGTTTGCGAAAACATTGCATTATGTTTTTAAACTTCTTCCTACTAACGTGTCACCTTCAAGCTTTACACTTATATTTGTAAAAGTTGTAGATAATGATTGAGAATTTCCTCTGTTGTAATTTCTTGTACGCATATTGAATAATGGTTAAACTTTCGAAAATAATTTTATATCTGTATGCTGATAAGGCATCATACATTGAATGGTAAACTTTTTAAAAAATATTTTCAATACCTCTTTAAGAAATAATTCATTCTTTTTCTAAAGTTTATTTAATACTGTAAACGCACATATTGTAATCATAATTAAAAATGTAATTTCTAATTTAAGTGCTTTCCACGCTTACGTTATTGCGATGAAATATGAACGTGCTAATTGCTAAGTGCGCGAATTCCTTGTTGCTCTTATTTGTTCAAAATAAATAGATTTAAGTATGTGTACAATATACACTTATGATCTGAACCAGTATGCATTATACATTAGGGTTGCAGCAAAGTTCTTTTGTTTTACCCGAAATGAACAGTTAAATAGAAATCACTATGTAGGATTAAATTGATGGACAAGATGATCAGTGTGTTTATACCACCCAATCGTGTGACAGTCCGACTTAAGTCCACTAGTAAATTCTTTGAATATGTACACTATTGACGCTTTCTTCCGTTTCAGATGGCCTTTGCAGCATACCTATTTTTTATTTCAAAGATGATAGAATTAACAGATACGGTAAGTTCGGGACCAAAACGCTGTAAATAAGTACACATTTAAATATCATTGAAAATGAAAATTGGTTTCAATTGTTTTTCATATTTTTGTTTCACCGTTTATCCGTACCTTAAAGTGTTGTCAACGAGGAGATCACGTGATGACGAAACTCGAATATTTTGTTATTGATATGACTTCATTACTCAAGGAAGAAGCTGTTGTTATACCAGTTATATATCATTGGTAGAGATCAAAGAAATCGTTATACAGCATAAAAAACAAACTAATTTTGTAATATAAAGCGCCGTTATAATGTTAAATATTCAGATATCTGCCAAGCGATTGCTCCATCCCGAGTCTTCAGATTTGATTGGATGTGTCGAAAGCGAAACCGTTGGGTTTACGAAGGTTCATTGATCTTAATGTACATACAATGGTGACCATTAATCAATAGAAAAAAGTAGTTGATGCCAGTGAAATGGCATTCATTATGTAAATACAACCATCTCCTTAAATTTGTTGATTTTTTAAAGTTTGATTTCTTTTAGGTAATTTTCGTATTGAAAAAGAAATTTCACCAATTGACTTTTCTGCACCTGTTCCATCATGGATTTCTACCCTTCAATTGGTGGTTCGGTATAAAATTTGCACCAGGTAGGTGTTCGCAATCACGCGAGTCATCTGAAACATTTTTATGCAAGTACATATTATAGTGATAACTTAATGTAATATTACCCCATTCTATTCAGTACATATTATAGTGATAACTTAATGTAATATTACCCCATTCTATTCAGTACATATTATAGTGATAACTTAATGTAATATTTCCCCATTCTATTCAGTACATATTATAGTGATAACTTAATGTAATATTACCCCATTCTATTCAGTACATATTATAGTGATAACTTAATGTAATATTACCCCATTCTATTCAGTACATATTATAGTGATGACTTAATGTAATATTACCCCATTCTATTCAGTACATATTATAGTGATAACTTAATGTAATATTTCCCCATTCTATTCAGTACATATTATAGTGATAACTTAATGTAATATTATCCCATTCTATTCAGTACATATTATAGTGATAACTTAATGTAATATTACCCCATTCTATTCAGTACATATTATAGTGATAACTTAATGTAATATTACCCCATTCTATTCAGTACATATTATAGTGATAACTTAATGTTATATTACCCCATTCTATTCAGTACATATTATAGTGATAACTTAATGTTATATTACCCCATTCTATTCAGTACATATTATAGTGATAACTTAATGTAATATTACCCCATTCTATTCAGTACATATTATAGTGATAACTTAATGTTATATTACCCCATTCTATTCAGTACATATTATAGTGATAACTTAATGTAATATTACCCCATTCTATTCAGTACATATTATAGTGATAACTTAATGTTATATTACCCCATTCTATTCAGTACATATTATAGTGATAACTTAATGTAATATTACCCCATTCTATTCAGTACATATTATAGTGATAACTTAATGTAATATTACCCCATTCTATTCAGTACATATTATAGTGATAACTTAATGTAATATTACCCCATTCTATTCAGTACATATTATAGTGATAACTTAATGTAATATTTCCCCATTCTATTCAGTACATATTATAGTGATAACTTAATGTAATATTACCCCATTCTATTCAGTACATATTATAGTGATAACTTAATGTAATATTACCCCATTCTATTCAGTACATATTATAGTGATAACTTAATGTAATATTACCCCATTCTATTCAGTACATATTATAGTGATAACTTAATGTTATATTACCCCATTCTATTCAGTACATATTATAGTGATAACTTGATAACCAGCAGCAAACCTTTTTGTGTACTATAGTAATAACTAGGATAGTATCATACACCAGATTGTGAAGACAAGATTGTGATGTGCCTACAATAGTGATATTATGGTTTTCCTTTAGGTGGCTGGGGAACCTTCCACGCCTTCATCAACGCCATGGTTCATAGTGTAATGTATATGTACTATTTTTTATCTGCCGGAGGCCCTACTATTCAGAAATACCTGTGGTGGAAAAAATATATCACTACTATACAGATCGTAAGTATAGAATTGCGACTCATCGTCATCATCATCTGACTAGTTGATACAAAACAATATATCATACAAGGTGTTCATGGTTAGAATTTTTACCAAGTGATAATACAGTTGAAGCTCGTTGTCTCGAAATCGTTTGAGCCGAAATACCGTTTGAGTCGATATAATTTTCAAGTCCTGATTTTATCCCTTCTATATCTTTGTAATTTTAGTTTGCATGGCTAGAATTTCATTAAGTCGAAATTTCGGTTGAGTCGAAGCGATTTTTCAGTACCTTCAATTGTTAAGCAAAGAAAAAGTCATTCGTTGTCTTGAAATTAGTTTTTGTCAAAACATTGGCACGTCCACTGACGAAATCGGTCAATACATACACAGAGTAGAAAGTCAATGGTAAATATTTTTCTATACTTATTGTATGGAAGTAAGTGGCATTGACCTCACTCTGTAACCTTTATGTTTCAGGCCCAGTTTATCCTAGTTATCTTCCATACCCTGTCAACCTTCCTGTTTGTAAAAGACTGTGATTATCCCGACCTTTTCGTCAAGGCGGTTCTTTTCTACAACTTGTGCTTCTTGGCTCTGTTCATGAACTTCTACATGAAGACGTACAGACAGAAACCGAAATTCGATGACAAGGAGAAGAAAGTATACACAAATGGACAGATCAATCATTTACAGAATGGTCAAATACAAAACGGGAATGCTCTAAAATCAGAATGATAACGATAGTTAAAACAGTATTCTTGTAGAGATTTATGGTATGTTTGGAAATTTATAATCAGTCAACCTTTTGTAGCTACTCAACAGTCCTGGCATGAAAGACATAACCCGTTAGAAGGGGCGTGACGTCTGAATACTGATCGGGGTGCTGAAAACACTGGGATTTGAAGTATGGGATCAGAGGAACTTAACATATGATGTGATATGTCTTAGTTTTTTTGTTTTTTGTTTTTCTTGGTATTGAAGAAGTACCAGATACATACCGTTGATTTTCCGTTCTGTTTTTTCTTGGTATTGAAGAAGTACCAGATACATACCGTTGATTTTCCATTCTGTTTTTTCTTGGTATTGAAGAAGTACCAGATACATACCGTTGATTTTCCATTCTGTTTTTTCTTGGTATTGAAGAAGTACCAGATACATACCGTTGATTTTCCATTCTGTTTTTTCTTGGTATTGAAGAAGTACCAGATACATACCGTTGATTTTCCATTCTGTTTTTTCTTGGTATTGAAGAAGTACCAGATACATACCGTTGATTTTCCATTCTGTTTTTTCTTGGTATTGAAGAAGTACCAGATACATACCGTTGATTTTCCATTCTGTTTTTTCTTGGTATTGAAGAAGTACCAGATACATACTGTTGATTTTCCTATAAGATTCCGTGTTTGTGTTTTTTTCCATTTTAGGTAGTTATTGGGATGGGAAAGCTTGGATACATTATTAAGATGGACCCACTCTCTACAGATACACTTATATATATTAGGAATGTCTCTCACAACGCATATTGAAGTCGTACAGGGCATTTTCAAAAAGATTTCTCACTGCAGGTAAAGTGTATCCGATAGTGACAGTGTTAACTAACAGGTTAGATTATGTGTACTCTGTATGAATAGGTATGCTGTGTGTCAAAACATACTTGAGAAGAAATTATCTGAATGTGGGCGTCATGCGTTATATTTTCGTTTTCTTATAAGCTGAATGCGGTGGCGGAGAGTGATGTGTGTGGGCGTGGGTGTAACCGTGTCTGTCGTTAGCTAACAAGGGTGAGTGTGTGTGGCACGACAGAAAGCATACTTGACTTGATGTTTTTAATTTGATTTAGTTTTTCCTATTTATCTGTAGCGTGAATTATGTAAACTTGTAGCTGTTATATATCATTTATTTATATTTCATCGTTCATTTTCTAAGCATCAATATTTCCGTGAAATGTCTTACTGTTGATCTATGTGCAGTGTGTACAAATAGAAAGTGTGAAACAAGGGGGTATTAGTGAATGATAGGAGACAGCCAGGACCAAATTATAACCACACCACTGTAGAATAAAAATCTGTATTACTTTATCAACTTAATTCATTTTCTTTTCTAATTTTAAGGATAAAAAAGTGTCTAGTTTACACGTATCTTGTAAAAAAAAAGTATGCATGTTCGTCGGCAAGCAAATGTATTATCATACTTATGAAAAATCTTATAAAATGCCTTTCGCATGTAGCATTATTGATAATTTTTCATTAAAACAAGGCTGTTCCATATAGCTGTTCGTCCGTATTGTAAGTAATACCGTTATGATATCGATGTCTGTGTGGAAAGATTTGCCGTAACCGGCATGCTACATTTTAAATCGTACACATGTAATATGTTGCTTCCTTGATGATTATAAGATGTATGAACATTACGGAATACATTGAATAATGAAGCTAATGCACCCCTTCCATCTAGGCTTCGACATTCCTTTAAATCACTTTGATTATTCCCCACTCGCACCTTACGATTCAAGATTTCAGTCCTCAGCATCGATAACTGACGATTCCTGCTGTATGATGGATTGAATTCATTATTTGCCTCTACTGTATCTAATTATTAAGTGTGTTTGTACGGAGAGAATCGCCTTGGAACAATCTATATACGTTAGATATGTGATAAAGTTAACATACCATATGCGACGCATAGTCGAAAATACGTCTTTTAACACTGTGTTTAAAGTGGTCTTGTAAGTTATTTTAAGGTGGATGAGTATGTATAATTTTTGTGTCTAGTGCACATTGAAAGTGATATATTTCGCTGTAGACTCCTTGACTCTTAAGATCATCTTATTTGCGTATAGGAAGTGGTCGATATTCAGGTAATCCATGGTACACTCAGGTGATCCATTGAGACACTCAGGTGATCCATAGAGACATTTAGGTAATCCATAGAGACACTCAGGTGATCCATTGAGACACTCAGGTAATCCATTGAAACATTCAGGTAATCCATTGGGACATTCAGGTAATCCATTGAGACACTCATGTGATCCATTGAGACACTCAGGTAATCCATTGAGACATTCAGGTAATCCATTGAGACATTCAGGTAATCCATTGTTACATTTAGGTGATCTATTGAGACATTCAGGTGACCCATTGAGACATTCAGGTGATCCATAGAGACATTTAGGTAATCCATAGAGACACTCAGGTGATCCATTGAGACATTCAGGTGATCCATAGAGACATTCAGGTAATCCATTGGGACATTCAGGTGATCCATTGAAACACTCAGGTAATCCATAGAGACATTCAGGTGGTCCATTGTTACATTTAGGTGATCCATTTGGACATTCAGGTGAACCATCTGGAAATTACATATTTTATAATGCGAATGGTAGAAATCTTATTGACTATTCATTGACAGGGACTTTTCAAATGTAATGTATGCAATTTCAGTATTTTGTCTGATTTGTTTTCTTCTAACGCTTTCTCTTCTGTTAACTTTATCAGACCAGCAAAATCCGCATCAGATGTTTATTTCAGATCGGAATGACAAAAAACACATTGAGATGGAACGAAGAAAATGCCGATCTCATGTTAATGAATTACAAAATAGCATTGCAATATTGAGAAGGAATCGGATACTGAACTGTCAAACCAAGTTAGTGGTGAACGAATATGTTACAAATATATGCAATAGTATAAATGAAAGTACATTGCCCTATTGTGAGAAAAGCAGTAGTGTAAAAAAGAAGAAGAAGAAAATATCAACATGTCAATGAAATCATAATCCAAACTCAAAGAAATTACAAAATAAGGACAAAATGGAGTTTGACATGGAGACTTATGTAATATATATATATATATATATGTTGCATAACAACGTTGGTTTATACCTTGTTCTCATTCGAAAACGTGACATTGATTACTTGGATTGACCAAGATTTACATGTCACGTGTCATCGATGAAGCAGAAGACGCCTACTTTTCGGCAACACCTGGTCTTATTCTCCTTGCACTTTTTCATGAGTTTATGAATCATGATTAAGTTGACTTGTTGGTATTTTATTGTTATTTTTTCGTTGGGGATAATCAGACTAGAAAGGTTACACAAATTGTCCATATAACTGCCTGTAGTCCGAGTGCAGATGTAAAGTATGAAAAGGCGGTGCCCAGTGTGACTTGCGAATGCGAATGGCTATCAAACTCATAACCATAAATTAGGGACCATCAATTTCAGTATGAAAATTTTCATCAATACCGACTTTTCCATTTTAAAAAAGAAACTTTGTCGTATTCATTGCAGTGTCTCCTTTTGTGTTTGGTACCGTGCGCCATTCACGTGACATCTATCAGCCATCATTACGACACATGTCAGGAATTCTCTTGACATATATCAGCCATAAGTTTGACATATATCAGAAACCAGTTATTCGTATTTTCAAATGATTTAAACGTTTTATTATCAGAAACAGATAAATGGATCAAAGACATGCTCTAGCAACTTATGAACTCTTCTCCATAAATAAATTAGAAATAATTAATATACTGTATGTGACACATATATTATACTATAAACATGAACATTTAAATAATTTTGTCAAATGGAGGAGAAGATAGAAAGTAGAACGGAAGAAAAAAGACATTACATAGATTTTATATCAATTCAGTTCCGACTACAATCAGTTCAGAATCAGGTAGTATTGACAAACAGTTCAGTATCAGGTTGTATTGACAAACAGTTCAGTATCAGGTTGTATTGACAAACAGTTCAGTATCAGGTTGTATTGACAAACAGTTCAGTATCAGGTTGTATTGACAAACAGTACAGAATCAGGTTGTTTTGACAAACAGTTCAGAATCGGGTTGTATTGACAAGCAGTTTAGAATCCGGTAGTATTAAAATACTTTGTTCTATAAAGTTTGCAGTTCACATTTCGCGCCAACGTTTCATACTATGAAGGTCTCCTTCAGGTTGTCCTTGTTCTACCTCTCCTGATAAAGATGTTCAGCTGGACACATAGTGATATAAAGCTACGAGATTTTTTCATGAAAGTTCCAAGATACATGACAAAAAATCCTTCCATTAATTGAAAAGCAAATTTTGATACAGATACTTATACATACTGATGTCTTGAGTAAAAAGCAATCACGTGAACACATCCTGATTAACTTGTATTTTACAGGTATTTTACATATATCAATTAATAGGTGTGAGAAAGGTGTCTGTTTCAGAGTGAACAGATTGAAAATTATGTACAGCTTCAATTCTATGTACATCAAAATACCCTTACTATCCGATGACTTGGTGTACAGATAAGGGTTGTGATATAACGGACCCTGACAATATATAGCGGGTTATATCGGTTTATTTATGAAGTCAGCATTATGTGCAACACCCCGGGACCGAGCAACAACATGAACTAGCTGTTTTTTCCCCAAAACAAGAGACACATCTTGCAACTTACGCATTGCGTCTTACTAGTAAAAATATATCGAACGCATTATAACTATATACGGAATTAGCACAGTGAAAGGGGAGGGGATAAAGCCTCACATATCAGTGATTCTTTATACTGGATTATATTGTGTTCCTAAACTTGACGACTCCCGGACTACGCTGTTCCATTGTGAAGTTATCCAGTCAAGCCTTTATCATGATCTTTCAGACGCTCTTCTATTCTTATAATTACTGAGGTATTATGATATTCAAGTTGAATTTGTTCATATGATTCGAATGTTGTTTCGTCCTTTGAGGATGGACGCGTTCCAAAGCGACGGTTTAATTCATCTTGTCATAATAGGTTTGTTTTTCAAGAAAGGCAGACAACTATTAAAATTTGTGGAGAGCATTGGCGCTTATTTTGTTGAAAAGTGAAAAAAATGAAACTCCTGATTGATATCATACTGCCTAAGTTTGGTGGAAACATCTCTGTGGAAGAAACTGAAATCCGGTTGAAGAAGGGATATTACAACAATTAATGAAAATTGTGCGAAAATCCTTTGTGGTATTAGATACAACCTATAATAGCTGACACTGCACACATTGCTTTCTATTATGACGG